GATCATGCAACAGAGCCAACAGTGTTCTTTTATCTGGCCAATATTGTCAGAGCTCCTCCTTGACAACTGGAAGGGGAAAATATTTTTGACATCAAGGATAAGGGGTCAGAAATTCTCTCAATCAGTATGTGTGGGGGTGGGGGCTGTGCATGGAATCAGAAGTGGCTTTTCTGCAAGACTTGGCCATCAAGACAGCCTGCTGCTTATCCAAGTAACATGGGGAGGGCAACACTAAGCCTTCCCAAGGATGTGCTCAATTGCAATGACAGCATCCCTCTGGTGACACTATGTTGGAAAAGACACAGCATCAGGTTTCCGGTCAGCAGAGCAAACTTCTGAGATGTAGCTGATTTCGAGCATGAACAAAATCACTTATCTCATGCTCCAGAAACTGATTTGTATTCACCTGGAACACTTGCCTTACGTCAAATAAATAATGCAATTGCATATAGACTTAGTACCGTGTCTGCCTGCAGCCATTCAATGACAAATACAAAACACGTAAAACTAGGTCTTGTTCAGTAATCATCTAGTTTTCTCTGTTGTTTATGATTCAATGATCAGATACCTACCCCAGACTATTTGCTGTGTGGTGTGCATTTCTGTAACTACATTATCTATCTGTCTAACATCTATTTAAAGATTGGAGGTCTAAATAGAACAGCATGAAGCATTTCTGCAGACTATAATGACACTTGGAATTCCTAACCACCACCATATGCCATATACTATGCTGACTACTTTGCACACATGATCTCCTTTTATCTTCAAATCACTAGGAAAGTCTCCATGGTAGAGGTAGAAAGAGGAAGATTTTATATCCGGCACTCTGGTAACAATCTGGTTTGAATTTTGACTCACTCATTAACTAGACCTGAAGTAACTTGCCCCAAATCACCCACCAGTAGTCTAAGGCCAAGACTCAAAAATCAATTCTAATCAAAAAACAAAACAAACAAACTAAAAACCCTTTAAACTATCCTAATAGAAGATACAAATTCCTTGACCCCCAGAGAATGGGGGGAAGCAGTGTTTCCTCCATTAACATACTGGATCTTCCTATTATTTCTTACCCACAAAAAAATCCCTCAGTATGGTGACCTCTGGGAATCCTGACTGCAAACATTCTGTCCCTTCCCAGCCATGGCCACTTCAGTTAAAAAGCAGGGGTTACAGGTGGAAAAGTTAGCAAGTACTGGTCTTTGGTACAGGAACATTCATTTTGGTTTAGTCACATCAATATTTCAAATTCAGATAACAACACACCCTTCCTCTCTACTGTCACATCAGGCACATTTTTCATTTTTATTACACAGACTCTGGGGTATTGTGAGAATCATGAAACTTCTCCCATCCAACCTAAAGACTCCATTAAAGCTTTCTTGTCCCAATTCTCAACTGTCACCTGGGAACATACAAAATTGGTTATTTCTCATGAAATAGTCAATGGCAGATGAAATAGGAGTTTGAGAATACTTTCCAACAACAAAATACAACAAACTTAATGAGATTTTCCTCCCTAACACATGCCGTTATTCAGTGGATTCTGTAAGAAAGACAACCATTTCAAGATGTATTAAGACTATGAAAAAAGAACAGTGTTGATATAACGTATTTTTTTGTTACAGCCAATAAATGATACTAACATCCTTTATTGAGTGGTTGCTAATATGCTGGGCACTGTCCTGTATTTTTTATGGTGGTCACCTTTTTAGAACCCATTGGCATTATTATCTTCACTCTGGTAATGAGGAAATAGAGTTGCAGCACAAGCAATAGGAAAACTACCACTACAATGAACTGTGAATGATGGCTTTTCTTGAAATAATAGTAAATGTTAAAGATGTTTATCAGACTTCATACTTCTTTCAAGTGTATAACTTTTTCATTAACCAGAATTTAATACTGACATGGTGCTTATCATGTAGTCAGTTGTGCTATAACTTGACACCCATATCCTATAACACTCACCATGCCATGCAAATTTATGTCACAAAAGACTGAGTATTGATAGGGAAAATTGTGCTAGGGACATGAATATAAATACTTACTATTGCACTCAATACCTTAAAAAATGGCCTATCATTTGCACAAGGAAGTTGATTCCAAAAGAACTGCTGGTTGTCAGTGACTCTTTTGGAACATGGGCAAGTGTGGGTCTTGTGTACTGACAAAGAGAGATGAAGCCTACTGTTTGCATATGGTTTCTTGAAAAAAATCACACAGTTGTAGCATGAACTTTCTGTGATGCTCAAATTACTTTCTAACATGTAAATCCCATTGGAGAACTTTGCACTCTGAAAGCATATGCCACCACTGACCATGCTCTAAGCAGAGGAAGGTGAGTGTTTTTTGAGCTACAACTTGGGAAAAGGGGCAGGCCTGACCTAGAAGATGGGAAAAACTTTAGCTGATGTATTGAGCAAGACAGATAAGCAAAGGTGATGCCTAGAGACTTTGTTTAAAAAAGGATATAGGCGGGCCAGGGTTGTAGCTTGTACTTGCCTTGCATGTGTGAGGCACTGGGTTCAAACCTAAGAACCACACACAAAAAAAATATGTGAACATTGTGAGATACTAGTATTCTCATTTTACAGACATGAAAGCTGAGGATAAATGTTACAGGACTAGTAAAAGTTAACTGAATTCAGCAGGACTGTCTCTATAGACTCCTTATTCTCCTCCTTCCTGCTGTATAAGGAGAACCTGTGGGCTGGGAACAGGGATAAGAATGTGGCCTGTGACATTTATCTTTGTTTCTATATATTTCTCAAGTGTTACCAGAGACTGCACAATTTAATATATATGTATATATACGTATGTGTGTTTATCTCAAAGCCCCAATAATATCATTTAAAAGAATTCAGTTACATTTCATAAAAATTATAGTTCTGGAGTTTTAAATTAATAATTGGTCTTTCTTAAGAGAAATTAGTGAATAATTTCAACTGCAGAATTTGCTCATAAGCAGAGAAATGTAAACAAAACCTAAGTTACCACAGATTTGCTTATATCCCGTGCTCTCTTGGACTGCAACACCCTCATGAGTACAATGATAACCTGTGACCATGAAGAAAGCCGGCACCATGGTCTAGATCCATAGAGCTCTGTGCCCATGAGGAGCCTTTTTTGAACAGTGCAGGCTAGCAGTATGGAATGACATTCAAAATCTAAAGATATTCCAGTAGGAAAAGATGAGCTACAAAAAAAAAAAAAATGGTCTAATTAAAAACCCAAAGGATCATTAATTCAACATTGTTTTGTCTTTCTGTTTTATATTCATTATGTATTATAGAGTCAGCAGCTGGCAGATCCTTTTCACTGTTCAGAGACATACAAATTCAAATTCTCATTTGTGAAAAAACTTCATTCCTTTCAGATGAGAAGGCAAAGTCTCTCTTGATTTTTTTTTTTTACAGGGGCCTCAATTTGAAGAATTAACACCAGAGATGTCCAGGCAGTTAGTAGTGCTGATGGAAATTCCTGTTATTTAAAGAAAGGCTGTTTGACCACCAAGGTATAGGAAGGACAAAGGTGTCAAACAAATGAAACCATCTATCCTATTTATCAAGAATCTAATATTTGCCTGCCACACAGATATAAGCAATGCACTCCAGAGAAAGACTCTATCTTCCTGGACCCTAAGGCCTAGTTGAAGAGATGGTTAGTCAAATAATCATGGTAGAGAGTATATGTAACTACAAACTGAGACCAAGGATGGAAAGACAATAGTCCTTTGAGAGTGTGTAAGTAATCAAGTCGGCCTTGATTTGAAGCTGTGGGTGAGGGCAACTTAGGATGGAGAAAACATTCCACACAGAGGAAAAGAAGAATTTCTAAAAAGGCATATACAAAGATTTCCTGGCTGAATGAGCACAATGCATTCAAGGTCTGCAAGACAGCCCCCGGGGATAGAGCCTTGGAAAGGTAGAGTTGTCAGTAGAGGGGACAGAGAGGTGGAGAACGATGAAAATTTTGTCTGAAAAAATAGTCCAATACATACCAACTGGGACCATGTAGACTCCAATAAGAATAGAAATTTATGTCAATATGGCAGTCAGCCTAGCTGTGGGACACCACAGGCAAATCCATTGTCATGGAACTCTTCTTTCCACCAACTTTAAGAGGTGATGCTTGAATTTAGCCTAGCATTTAGAAACATGCAAAGCACACACCTGATCATCACATGAGGGGTCCTAGGTCATGGTAGGGCACACTGTAAACATACTGGACCATCCTTCAGCTAACCTTCTTCAAACGTATAGCCAAGACAATGACTTCACACATCAGGCACCACATGAGTGGTAGATCCACTGATTTCTTGAGGAAGCAAAAGGAGACAAGGACAAGCACAGGGCACCATCCAAACTACAGATAACACAATGGTAGAATGAGTTTTCTTCATTCTATTAGCAATTGGACAATGTAGAGTGCACAAGCCAGGATCAGTATGTCTTGGTCCCATGACCTTAGTCTTTTGTGACACAGACTTAAGCAAGAAGGTCTTACTTTCCAGGAAAACTTTACTCAGTACTTTGTAGGGAGGGATGCTGAAGGTGCAGTATTATTAAAATGATACCAAAAAAAGGGCATTTATTAACAAACATTTTTCAAATGAGGTCCCAGAATTTCTGCAATTTCTGCACAGGTGAAATTAACAATAGCCACTCCTTACTCCAGATTAGAAATTTCTATGGTCTTCATGTCTTTATAAAATACCTGCCATTCTGAAAAAAAAATTACTTTAACTCTGAACTTCCACATAGAAGACTTCTTCAAGGCAAGTTCACTTCTGTACTTACCCAATGATGTCCAATCAGTTAATATACATTAACCCTGCAATAAATGTTCAGTCATTCTGTCTTCCTTCTTTGTAAGGCCCTAGAGGGTTACTATGTTTTCCCTCCTAGGCCTAGTTACCCTTGATATCACTTCAAGTATGCAGACCCCCTCTGCGGTCATTTTATTTGTAATAGTGCCTTGTGTGTTGTGTCTCCTAGCTCTACATACAAACTACCACGCTTACAATCTCCATGAACCTAAGTGCGTCCGTGGCGCTGGGAATGCTATACATGCCGAAAGTGTACATCATCATTTTCCACCCTGAACTCAATGTCCAGAAACGGAAGCGAAGCTTCAAGGCGGTAGTCACAGCAGCCACCATGTCATCTCGGCTGTCACACAAACCCAGTGACAGACCCAACGGTGAGGCAAAGACAGAACTCTGTGAAAACGTAGACCCAAACAGTAAGTAACTCCTTTCTTTCATCTTCCCATCCTGCATCAGGAGGCCCTAGAAAATGTGGTGTGTGCTGCCCTGGTGAATGCTAATTCTTGCTCTTCTGAGTTTGACTCATTCCTGCCACCATTTCCTTTCTACTCCCCATTGACAAAAAGCCTTTAGAAGTTCTGCTTCAAAAGTACAAAGCCTCCTCTTTCCCTTGCGTGGTGTCCTTAGTTACAACTGACATAAATACACCTCTCAGATTGTGGCACCTTGCATCCTTCCTGCTGGTGGAAACGACTTCCTGTTAGGCAAATGTCTATACCTAATGGATTGTAGCAGAAGAAATAAAATTAGATTAAGATCTTAGGAAACCTGACTCCTCTCCACTGGTACATGCATATGACGAAACTTAGTTATTCTTTACTAAGCAAGTCTCCCAGAGACAAAAAAAAAAAAAACCCATAAAATATTGGATAAAATTGTCTAACTCTCATTGAAGTACATAGGCCCAGACCACCACCATGTAAAAATGGCATCACTATGTGGGGAAAATATGTCCCACACCCTTGCACAACAGATTTGTTCTCTTAAAAACAAAACCTTAGGGCTAGAATAAAGGAAGAAATGTGAGATTTGAGATACTGTGTGTCATATCTGCAATATTCCAGCAGCCTTTAGTTATGCTGGTACCGAGTGAATTTTACGTTAAAACTTTCAGTTCTAGGACTTGATTTCCTAGAATATTTTGACCCCTTCCATATAGGATGAAAGATTCCAGTGTTTATGATATTCCCCGGGTTTAAGATAGACCTAACTGTGGCAAAACGCTTACTGCCCAGCAGAAAATTCAAGAGGCCAACTGGGTACCGTACAAAGACCCAAGTCTTGTCCAGTCTCCACTTCTAAATAGTGAAACAAAAGTGGTACAACACTTTGAAAGTAAGTAGACAGAGAGTAGCAAGGTTAGAACCAACATTTGGGCTTCACTTTGACTTCTCAGTAGAGTAGAATCTGGAACAAGGCAAGAGACAGGAAAATAATTTCCCTGATAGGGGACCAACAGACCAAGTGTGTAGGTTCTGTTGTATCTCTTAAGAGCAACTCAGAAGAAGAAAAATTGATGGTCGCACTCCCTGTGTTGTAGGAAGAGCCTTTTGGGTGTGGACATACCCGAGTTCAAAGCCAGGTTCCTCCTCTCCACAGTCACAAGGCTCTGAGACTCACTGTGCTTTTCTAAAATTAAATATCTTTACATATAAAATGGAATAATATGTAAGTAGATGATAAAAAATATTATGCATCTAGCAAATGGTATATCAACTAAATGCCAATTTCTTCCATTCCTGAAGAGGCAAAATGTTTTGCTTAAAAGTACACTGCAGTTGACTGGTTATGTGGTTATGATAATAATGATGTTTGGTGGGAGATGCTTAAGTTAAATGTGCTTTGAAACAAATTATTACTTGTTGTATTGTCTACAGACAGGAGTAAACTGAACTCAAATAAGGCTGCCAAGGTAGAGGCCTCATCTTACTCAGAAATTCAAATATTCCATTATCTATTTCAATCACAACAATTATTCCATTTGGGAATTCATTGGTTGTCTTTCCTTGATAAAGTTTTATTTTTTCTTTCTTTCTTTCTTCTTCTTCTTTTTTTTAATGCTGTTCTGGTGTCTACACTGAGCCAACATCAACATTCCAAAAGAAAAAGCAAATCAAGTAGAACCTTTGACTCACCACCAGTCTGAAAAATATCTTAAGATTCTTTCAGTACTTTTCACATTATGACCCTTAAACACCATAATAACTTGGACTAGATGTTTCTGAACCATAGGAGGAGATTCATGTACCTCCAAACATTGGAGTTTCTGATGATCCAACCCTCTAAAGTCCCCAAGAGAAACTCAAAGATCTTAGTTTCACTAAGGCTGTCCAGTGGCACGTGCTATAGTGGCATTAATGTACTAGATAGAACCTTTGTATCCAATTCAGTCAGCATTAACACAGGTGCCTAGAGCCCTTGAAATACACTACTCACCTAACACATTTCATATTTTACTTTGTTTTCAATTATTCAAGTTTAAATAGACACCCATGGCTGTGGCTGCTGTATTGGAGGACTCAGCTCTAGAAACTAGTGTATCTAATCTTGCAAGGATTTCATTCTAGGACACTCAGTCTGAGTCTTTAATGGAGAAAACTCCCTTAACTTCAGCTACGATGCTGACCTGGGACAGATCCAATCTAAAGGAATCAAAAAATTAATAAAAATTTGAAATGCACCCAAGATGGATAAGAAAAAGTTATTTAAAATGATTCCAAAAGGAGCAACCAGTATGGAACACAAGTAATTATCCTAGATGGCAATTCACTGGAAAGTCTCTAACAATGCAAAAATGTACAAATAAAAGTGCATAAAGAGTAGTAGTGAATGATTCAATTAATATAAATAGGTGATACTGCTTTGATGCTAGGAAGCGTTATCATAATATTGTTCAATAAAAAATATAGCTCGTGCTGGGAGTGTAGCTCAGTGGTAGAGCGCTTGCCTTGCACGTATGAGTCCCTGGGTTCAACCCTCAGCACCACATAAAAATAAATAATAATAAAATAAATAAAAATAAAGATATTAAAAATATATATAGCTCATTTTTTCTCTAATATCTAAACTTTGGTAATGGAGACAAAGAAATTATTTGCTGGTTTTTAATAGCAAAAATAGAGACCATGCACTTGAAAAAATCTTCAGTTGGAAAATTCTGTATTCTCTTTTCTGAGAGAAGGTATCTGAGAAGAAAGTTGAGTTTACATGAGCTATAAAGTAAATAACAGAACAGAAATACCCTCTCTTGCTCACTGTTGCTCTAAGCACTCAGTCGCAGTGTACTTCAACCTTGAGTGTCTGCATTCTGAACAGCCCTGCTCCATCGCTGCAGTTGCCACCTGCTGCATGCACGCTTCCCGCCACCCATCCAGTCCACACAGCTACTACATGTCTACACAGCCCTGAACCTGCTTGTCGGCTTCATGTGGGCAGTCACCTAAACTGCCCTAGGATGGTCTATTATTCGTCAAGGAGTTAGTTTTCCCTCAAGTTGCTTCTTCAGTCAAAAATCCCCTGGCTTCAAAGAATGGAGATTGAAATCAAATTCCATGCACGTATAACTTTGTCAAAATGAACTGAACTACTATGTATACTTATATAATGCTCTAATAAAAAACAGTTTGGGGTATGAAACAAAAATATAATTTAATGTTGTTATCTTTGCACTAACAGTACATATTCAAACCAGGGCCACCGGCTACAAGTCTCTCCATTCAAATAACAAATAGCAAGCTCAGAGGGTAGGAGGGTGTAGCTTGGCTACTTATTTAATTTTTATTTATACAAGTAAGATTTCTGTAATGAGGGGTTCAGTAGAGCCTAAACTGATTTGGATATTTTCAGATTTATCTAACGTGGTCCCTCTTCAACATTCCTTTCCAAGAAGGGAACTTTAGTCATTTGTTTCCTGATTTTGGCATCTTTCCCTGTACTCTCTACTACTGATTTACCTACCATATGTGAGTTCATGGTGAACATAATGATGCCAAATAAATAGAAGGACATGGTTGTGCTTGGTCTGTCTTTCACTGATGGCCCCAAGGATCCTTTCCAAGTTGGATGGATAATGTCACTAAGAGATAGCATGGCTGTATAGGGACGGGTGGATGAAGTCTTCTTCCTCCTTCACCTGTCCTGGTCATAACCAGAAGGTACTCAGAGTTCTCCTCTGGTCTTGTGCTTTCCTTGGTAAAGGATCACAGTACATAACAATGAGAGGCCTCAAACTACTTTTGACCTAAGTAAGACACCATCCATTTTCTAAGCCAGTGTCCCCTCAAAGCACAGGGAAATACCTCAACTACGTAAGTTGCCTGTGGATTGCCTTCAAAAACCTGGACATGGAAGGCAGGTGGACAGCTCGGGACACAACCCCATCCTGGAAGTAGAGATATAGGTCTGATAAATGACCTTGAAACAGAGGCTGAACAGATACTAGATAAAAGATGGTATTAAGCAGATGAACATATTGTAGAGGCCATTTCAAGAATCAAATATTTTATATTTGATTTCAAATATAAAATAATTTAAAGATGAGTCTATATTCTGATACTGCTTTTCTTTCACTACCAATTCTCTATTTACCATAAGGAGAACACGTAACTGAAAATCTTGAGTTTCTCTTGAAGAAAGCAATTACACCAAAGAGTAGAAGTGTGGCTAGGAGGAGGCATTTGAGCACACACAAACACACACACACACACACACACACACGAAACCTCTTCTGCTGCTGGAAAATGGATGTGGGTACCCAACTCTACGCAAGCCACGATGCCTCGAAACTTCTGGAACACACTCCAGTGCTGTGTTCATTTGTCACAGTGCTTTGCTTTGTTTTGGCTTCTTCATGTGTTTGGAATCTTAGCATTCTCGACATTACGCTACTTGTTTCATCTCTCTAGACTAGCATTGCAGATGGTCAGTGTGACCGGCTAGGCTGAGACAAGAGGCATGGCCAGAGGAAGCAAACGATGCTCAGAGCAGATAGATGAGTTATTTGGAAGCTGGTTCCCTCAGCTGGTCCAACCCAAGAAAGTAAACCCCAGAGGCACCAATACTCCCATGTTCAGAGGTACCTGAATTGTGGCAGACTGGTCTACAAAAGGCTACCAAACCCCCTCAAAGAGGGGACATGATATCTGTGGTCTCTATCGCAGCCTCTTCTGCAGAAAGAAAACTAATAATAATAATGGAAAGAAAATCTCTGTGCATATTTATTTTATATATACCTATATATTTACTTTTCCTGTAGACTGTATCCCACCAGTAAGAAAGAGTGTACAAAAGTCTGTCACTTGGTACACTATTCCACCAACAGTATAGCTTTTGACTGCTTTCCAAAAGGTAAGAAAACAATCTAATTTTTATTTGTATATGTGTTCTTGTCTACACCGCAAATTAGACATGTTTCCATGAGAACTGTGCATGACAATCTATAAGTCTACCTATAGGAAGAATATGCATTTGAAAAGATGGTATCAATAAGCTGTGTGCCAGTAGCCGCCATTGGTCACGTGCCTGGTATATGTTCTGAAGAATATGTTTACGAGTGTGTGCACATTTGTCTCTCCTAAGCAACGAGCCTGTAATTGCAGAGAACGGGTGCTGGTCACTCCACTACATGTTTTACTTTATCCAGTGGTGAGAAATCATTTTGAAATGCATGTTTTCACATTCTGGCAATGTAGAATGCTTACAGGGAAAGAAGGGAGACATTTACAAACCTAGGGAGATAAATGTTTGTTCTGGTTTATTGTTATTAAATATATTCAAAGTAACATACATGGTCCCAGAATTGTATGCATTGAAACAACACAAATGGCTGATCCCTACCAGCCTAAGGCTGCCTTGGTTCCTTTTTGCAGCAAAGACATAATAAAGAAAGACTGACTGGCTGGGCTTGATAATTCGTAGCTCAATGTTCTGCCTCTGAGAAACTTAACTCATTGCAATCATCTCTTAGAAGCCAGAGAGGGGTCCAACAAACTACATGGGTCTAAAGATGAATTTTAATAGTAGTCGAACCCAGAGATTACCAACATATGTACCAAATGTATTCAAACTGAGAACTTGGAGAAATGACAACCTGTGTGATCGGTGAACTGGCCACGTGAATCAAATGACCTCAGAATGTCCATTGATTCCCCATTTAGGATCTCACTGACAAATGTATGCTCTCAAACAATAGCATTAGTAGCATTATTATCATTTCCTGATCCCAGCCTAAACAATGGAAAACAACCCTTGGCTTGGCAAGCATCCTCGCCCGGCTGGAGTCAGGGCCCTGCAGACTGGAAAAATGAACAGTCAACACCCTGGAGTCCAGTTATTAAAATGAGGTGGTAACTATGAATAAAAGGATCCCTTCTGAGTTCCTCTAAACTTCCTCTTGTGCTTGTTTAAAAACAAAGACCCACCTCCATCTCTAGAGAGGTCCTGGGAGAGAGTAAGCCAGGAGCCACGTCATGGGAGGGAACAATACTGCTTAATAACGTGGACTGGCTTTCTTTCCCCATGTCGCTATCATGGGACTTGTTATCAGATCATTGCTCTGTTTGTTCCCATCTTTGTTTTTGTAATGATATTCTGAATACAAATAACATTTTGCTCTTTTTTAAAAAATCCATTTAGCACTCTAAGATAGGACAAGAGTACTTTCAAAGAGTAATTACATTTCCTGTTGATTTCAGATGGATGCCAACAACTCCGTCTTTAATTTCAGATGTATTGTTCACATAGTTATTTCCTTTTTCCGTATCAACATGATCTGTCCTAGATTTTAAATAGGGCATTCTTCTCTACAGTGAATATGTAACTGTATTCCAGTGAGATTTCAAGTTTTTGCAGTACAAGTGCTTGTCAAAACACTGCAGCTCATCGTTTTAATAGTCCTTTTACACGAGACTTCCTGAGAATAAATGAGAAGAAATTTTCTCTGGGTGAGAAAAAAATGATTTAATCTCAATCCATTAAAAAATTCTCTTTAGTTTCATTGTAAATTGATGCTTTTTGGCTTAAAGGGAATAAGATGAAAATATTTTCAAGTCTGTTTCAGTTAAAAAATGCTTTTAGAGCATGATGTTTAGGAATATACTCAACCTGTTCACTAGGATTGTCTTGCTTCAAAGATTCTGATTAGAGAGATTCAGAAAGACTAAGCAGGGAAGTCCCATCACAAGTGAAAGAAAATAATATGATCTCTACCAAGGAATTTTTGCCAGTTCATCATTCTGTTTCTTCCATATTTGTTTTTCTAATGGTATTCTGAATGCAAATACTGTTTGGTCTCATTTTTGATCAATTTACAGCTGGCTTTACAGATTCATAATAAACATCATACGAGAATGGAAGACTGTCTAAGTTACATTTATTCAAGTAGAGGGTGATTCACCACACAGGGTCAATAACGAGACGGATCCGCTTGGGGGACCAGGGAGAGATGGCGCCATGTGTTGTATGGTAGATCCATTTCTATGTGATGGTTTTTGAGAAGATGAAATACAGTAAACTATAGATTTAAGAGGGGAGTTTCTACTACTGTGCTATTCAACCCTGTTTCAGCCACACTGCTGAAATACTACATATAGCAAATCTAAACAGGACAAACGATGTTAGGAACTGTATTCCATATGACGCCTCTCCTTAAAAGCACCCTCCTGTGATAAACATTATGAGCCGGCATCCACAAAATCCATACTGCCTCCATCTATCATCTAAACATTCATAAACATTACAGGTCTACGAGGAATTATCCATCTAAAGACATTTATTTTAAAATCCAATTAAGAAAGAAAAAAATGATTACTGTGGCATTATCATAAGGCAAGAACAGATTGTTTTTCAGGAGTTCCAGTTTCACACCACAAAAAAAGGTTTGGAGTTAAAAAACTTTAAAAGAGTTTAAGTGGGACAGAGAAATCCTGACTCATGATTTTTACAAGATTTTGTTTCCATGATTATCACTGACATCTCACTAATTTATGAAATGGCATTATAAAAGTTTTATTCCTTGTTTCTTGTTGTTAATATGATGGGATTATTTAGCACTTGTAAGATTTATGGAATCCTGCCAGGCAAGTTTTGGGATCATATCACAACGTCCCTCTTTAACATTCAACATGATTCTAACTCAATACCACCTTAATTTAAAATCCACTTTGACACACTCTTAAGTAAAGGACTGCAAAGAATAGAAATGATCTGACATTGAATCTCCTCAGAAATAAAAACAGCCATGAATCTCTTTGGTATCTCTGTGAAATACCTGCATTACTCTCATTAGGTGTGCTCTCTCATCATCAGGTGTGCTCTCTCATCACACCTTCCCAAACCAATTAATACCTGTCATCTGTGTTCTGCAACTCTGGGTTCTAAGTAAAGAATGGACTATGAGCACAAGCAGCTAATTCTCCTACTAGTTCTTAGCAGAAAAGAAAAGCACACATCAGCTGGGCACAGTGACACACACCTATAATCCCAGTGCTTGGAAGACTCAGGCAGAGGATCCCAAGTATGAGGCCAGCCTGGGCAACTTAGTGAGGCCCTAAGTAACTCAGTGAGACCCTGTTGCAAAATGGACTGGGGATGGGACTCAGTGGTTAAGCACTCAGATTCAAAACCTGGGACCAAAAAAAAAAAAAAAAAAAACCCAAATTGAGAAATGTACATTTCATGCCCCAAACTCATGAAAACTATAGGTTTTAAAATTCAACACTGCCCTGCACTATGTGGTTAAGATATATAAACCTTAACAATAGTCCTAAGTTGGATCAATCAAACATATGTTGTTGAACACTTCTCCTGTGAGCCAGCCCTGAACTGACTAGAGACAAGGGTCACAAGTGGATAGGGTCCTCAGGGAGTTCAGATCTGATGGCAGACTCAGAATTAAGCAACTACCATTAGGTAAAGTGATTAAGTTTCCTTTTTTCTATGAGATTTTAATATAAAAGCCTGGCAAATCCCAGGCTGGCAACCTTACTTAAAACCTAGTAGGTACCCAGTTAATATTTATGAGTTAATAATTATTTTTAATAAAATACACACTCTCTGACCTCAAGGTGAAACTGGATTCTTCCAGATCATGTCCAAAGTCACAAACCTTGAAAAGATCAGTGGTTTTCTCTGATGTCACAGATTTCAAAGTGCATTGCACTTGTGTACAAAAAAAAAAAAAAAATGTTGTACAACACGTAAAAGAGACATCAAGGTTACCCCACATTTATGTATTTAGTATCTTTTGCTGTGCTGAACCTGTATGTGAAACAAGTTTCATGCCTATCTATTTTCTTTTATGGACTACAGATGTCTGTACAATTTTTCTTTCAAAGCACACATGAACTTGAAAGTTTCCATGAAGATGGATGCTAAGCACGTAACTTCAAATGCTTTTGATTCTAATTTGATTAAAAAATTATGAACCATCTATTTGGCTGTTTTCTGATTTTTTTAGTTCATTTTCTTAGAGCCAGCTACTCAGGGCAAATTTTGTCTTTTAGTCCTCAGGTATCATTTACATTTTAAAAGTTTGTGATCTAAACCAAGGTCAGTTCATTTCTGCAATCCTTCTTCTCCCAGCTATTCTAAATGAGCATTTTCCCAACAGTTAAGAGACAATGACTTGTATTTCCTCTTACTAAAGACCTATCTCAACTTTGCAGTTTTTTTTTTTTTATTTCTTTATTTTTTGCCAGTACAATGGAGCTTGGATGCATTTTAAATTAACTTTCTCTAGGAATCAAAGGTAATCATTATTTCTCTTTATAATCACCATGAATATTCTCATTATTTTTCTTTTCAAGTTGAAGATGAGTTTTGAATGCCCTCTCCACTCCGTCCTTTTTCAGAGTAACCTCAGCTTGAGGACGGGTCTTCAACTTTTGTTGTTGCTGAGCCGTTCTGAATGCTTAGAAGATCATACCATGAGTCGGCAACCCCCCTTGCAGTAAGTGTTGCTTCGAGTCTGGGTCATGACCTTGCATGTATTGTCCATTTCTCTGGGCAAAAACAAGGACAACTGGACTGGGAATCCAACCCTGGTTCTGGATACTTGGGGTGTCATACTTTGCTCATGTCAGGGATCTCTGATTGTGGATTAGTCACATTCTATGCAGTCCTCAAGTTTCTGCTTGAACTATCACCTTGGTTAAAATGAAAACGAGCCTTTCCTGCTGGGACACCATGAAGGCAGCACAGCGTGCTGTGTAGGAAAGCCTTTCTTTCTAAGAGCTGTACATAGCAAAGTGGCAGTGCTGGTCCCCACTTAACCTCTGGACATTTTAATTGGCTAATTTTGTAGTTACTTATCTTGTCTACCATAAACCATCAGAGTTGGAAGGGGGTGA